TCATTTGCTCCAAAATATATAAACGACCCCCGTCCTCATCAAAGATCCTTCAACTACTAGTATACGCATCTTAACAATCATTTTGTCTAGCTGTCTGTCCGTCCGTCAACCTGTCCGAATTTTAGGCATTTTACTAGTATGGTAGTAAGTATGCTTTTCAGAGAATCCATTTTGTGTTAATCAATTGATTATAGAGGATTCTGTTTTTAGAAATATTTAATCGTCCGTCGAAGCCTTTTGAAGTCAGTTACACACATGAAGATCGACTACTGCCCATGAACATGCTAAAGTCGCCTGGCGGATCCTCTGGCTTCCATGTTTCCATATATTTGACGCCTCGGATTTCTTTGCTGCATCTCCTGGAGTACCAGCACTAACTAGTGATTCCTTGAATAGCACGTGTTATCAACTTAAACATATTTTATTTCTCCACTGTTTGACCACCAATATAAATGAATTGGACAATCTTAGCATTTATTTTCTATAGTTTAGCAATCAGTACCAATATCTATCCATCAATATTTTGTGGTCTTTCACTAGTGGAGGAAGAATCAGGAGATTGATAGGAATGGTCAAAATGATACAGTATTAAACTCGGTATAACTATTTACATCTTTTGACTTCAATTTTGTTTAAATGTTCAAAGACATGTACTAGAGAAAAATCCTCAGGAAATTTACTCCAATATACACCTGTTGCATTATTAATACACGTAAGTATGAGCATGGCACTTAAAAACTGTTCTATTAATGTATGTCATAAAATATAGAATGATGATCACGTGTTTATCATTTCACTAGGAATGCTATAGGGCTAACGAAAGTTGCCATATGATGCTGAGTCTTTCCCCCCCCCCCCTAACAATTTAAGTATCTTATTCAGTTTTTCTATTTTCTGTTAAGGCAAAGCAGACTCAACTTTGACTTCCGGTAATGGTATGAAAATCGTGCAACCGGTCAATGACCGATATTTACAAAAATGAAGATTATCCATACTTTCTAGATACAAATTTTTTTTACTATACAATAACCAAGGAATGAAAATGAGATTAAAAGTGGTTCAACACCTCATCGACCGGTCCAACATCTCACTCAGCGGTCCAACATCAATTTTTTATGCCCTCAGCAAACCATTAGAAATGTTAAGATTTTTTTTTCGAATAGATTTGTATAGGAAAAATTTTTAAAGGTATAACAATAGTAGTTAATGTTGATAGTCCTATAGTCGTTATTGACCAATTGACAAAAGAATTTTCTAACAAAATGAGGGATCGGCGTTTATTGAGAATTGGGTGGGGGAGGGGTTACAAGGTCTTACATGCATATTTTATCACAACACCTTGAATTTGAAACATTTTTCTTTATTAATTCTAAAACAAAAAGACACTGACATTATGTATCATGGCTGCGGTGTTTTCATTTGAAGTAAAGTGTACAATAACTGGAAATATGTATCGATAGGCTGTCCGCTTAGCCTGGAAAAAAATTGCCGTGTAAATAGATTATTGAACACCAAGGAAATTTCATAATTTTAAATTACATGTATTCTGAATCTGAATTACAGAATGAAATAGGCTTTGTTATATACAAAGGCAAAATTTTTGGAAGTGAAATAAAAGTCTTTATATACATAAACAACTTGCGTATTACAAACTACGAAATGCTTTAAGGAACTCTGCAAATATTTCATTCATCGCTGCAAAAAATCAAGTTTTTGACATGAATTCCACACAGAAAAATATTTAAACATCACACCTATTGTAATATAGCGTTTTAGCAGAATATACCATCCTTGCCAGGGGCGGATCAAGCAATTTTAGAAAGGGGAGGTTCCAGGGTTGTATCCCACTAACCCCCCCCCCCCCCCCACACACACACACACACATACTCTCAAGCAAAAATTCACAGACTTGTATGGAAAGGTCTAAGGTTGTGGTAAATACTATCTTTGTTTGATGTCATTATTTTAAAAAAAACTTTACCCAGTCCGAATTTTAAAAACACACCAAAAAAAAAAAACAAAAAAAAACCCCACCCTACAAAACCACCCCTTAATGGTGTGGGGGGGGGGGGGGGGGGTAGTGGGGTGCGCGTGTGCTTTAAAACAAAGAGTTACATGTTAGTTCCTTAGATAGATTTAGATATGATTTTATAAAAACCGTTACGTATATAGCCGACACAGCCAAAGATCAAGGGAATCCAATATAAAATTAAACCACGCATGTTACAATATCATATCATAAATAAGATATATATTTTTTTAAAAAAGCGGAATATATTCTACCATTCTCTCATATAAAAAATAGTAGTGAAGGTGAATGGAGGAAACTAAATGTGTAAGAATCTATCTATTCAATAAGTAAGTAAGACGTACAAATATTTATTCTCAGAAAACTTTTTATTCTCTCTCTCTCTCCACTAAGCAAAAAATAAAGGGTGAGTTCCAACCCCCATACCCCTCCCTCTGGATCCGCCAATGCTTGCTATGTTATTTGCTCAACTAGAATAAAGTGCAGCTGTACTTCATCTACCGATTTAGAGTTATTCGCCCTGATACAGAGTTGTCGTGATGCGACAGCTCTCGAATAACGGGTATCTTTTTTTCTTGATTTTCGAACAACACCTGAATTTTCCTTCTTCAACTTCGAATTTTTGTTCTGTCTTTCTTATGAACGCACAAACGTAAAATACTGGTAGGAAGAAGAGATTGTGCGGTCACTTGACAAAAACTACATCATTGTACAATTAAAAGTCATGCATGAAAATAAGTGACATGAGGTTTGATTGGCGATGATACCGGAAAGTTATTGAAATTTTTATTTATGATGGATTGGTGTATTCTGAGTGTTTTGCACTCGTCACAGCCCTTCGTCCAAAACTCCAAATAAATAAGGATACACCATAATAAATATTTCATAGTATCACTATAGACTTTAAAAAAAAAACATTTACAACGAACAAAAATCAAAATTTTCAAATGTCAGATACTAGTATCTAAGGATCTAGGCGCTCTTGACAATTTACACCGAAACTGTGTGTATATAGTGTAGCATAATATGGACGTCAAAATTTCAACCAGCTAGGCAGATCCTTTTACAAATGTAGTAGGAGTTCCGGATAAGAGTTTGGTAGCTTCAAATCTTTCGATATTGTAGAATGGTGGGCATTGGCGGATACGGGAGGAGGGGTATAGGATTGGACCCCCCTTTTTTGCCAAGTGGAGAGAGAGAAAGAAATAAAACGTATCTGAGAAGAAAATATTTGGACGTCTTACTTATGCGTGGAATAGATTCAGTTCCACACATTAAGAGTCCTCCATTCACCTTGATTATTACTTTTTATATCAAAATATTGTATATGATTTTTGAATATTTCTACACAAGTACCCGTGTACAATGCGTCTCTTAACTGACAGTGAAATTATATACTAAGTACTATTTTTACTCCTCTATCAAAATATTTTTTTAGAATAATTATTACATCTGAACATAAACTTCCTTCACCAGGAAAAAAAAAACTAAATTCAACATTGAAACGAACAAACAGTTTTGTGAACAATTCAGTAGGGAGTTATATACCTGTGATCATCGAGTTATATACCTCTCCTACCCGTGATGTGTCGTACAACTTACTCCTCTCTATTGTAAAGTCAGTGACAAGTTTTGTTTCCAAATCGAAATCAACAACTGACGTACGTTAATATACTGTGGATTTGAAAGGTACATCATCCGACTATGCTTTATACGTGTTTTGAAGTAAGGAGCGTCTCACCACAAGTCTTTATGTATATCTATTAATTAAAATTTAAATAATAAAATATTGGATAACACTGTCCAAAGTATGTTACAAATGAAACCCCAATATTCCTTTTACACAATGCAGGGGCGGTCGGATCAAACTCGTCTTTTTCCGTATCGGAGATCAAGACCCGAAGAGGATTTCGGAAATAGCCGAGTAGCTACGATTGAATACGAATGAATCTGACGTCACAGCGGAAGTGACGCCGAGCTGTGTCTGCACTGGCTGTGTTGAGATCGAAGGAGGCTGCATATCTTCGTGTTTCTCCGCGTTTTAAAGCATGTTTTCCTATTGCTAACATATCTTTATCTACTGCAGCATTTTCTTGGCAATGTTAACGCGAAGGATGGGATTTTTCGAATGCAAACTGCAAGGTTAGTGAAAATATTGGAGACAACGAAATAACACGATCTTCCCTCGGCGTTTGAGTGTGAAATACGTTACGAGTTACGAAATTTACGCAAGCTGGTGAGGATTCTGGAATCTTTTGAGAGTATTTACTGAACATTATTCAGGACTGGATGTTAATTTGAACGTTTTTAATCAAAATCTACGATTAGAAAGTAGCCAGGCATGCGCAGTAGGGGGGTTAGTTGTGCCTGGCATGACTAACCCCATTTACGCCTGCCCTAACTAACCCTGCTGAGACTGACAAAAAACTGACTAAGCCTTGACTTTAGGCAAAGTCCAAAAAATAAAATGCATGCAAAAGAAAAAAAAGAACACCAGCACAAACAACATTCCAGAAACAAATAAAATGATTTAAAACAAAATAATTATAAAATAAATAGAAAAAAAACTTAAATTCTAAAACTATTAACTAAACTAAATTTTAATAGAAATGTTCATGTTAGTTGACTAAGTTAGTCAAATACTAAGACAATTTGCAATGGAAATTCTTGTTAGTTGACTAAGTTAGTCAAACTAAGACAATTTGCAATGGAAATTCTTGTTAGTTGTCTAAGTTATTCAAATAATAACACAAAATGTAATGGAAATTCTTGTTAGTTGTCTAAGTTAGTCTAACTAAGGGATTTTTTCTTGAAAACCCCAAATTCCAATAATCAAAATAATTCCAATTTTAAATAATACACTGTTGTAGGCACCTTTCATATACTAGATCTTGACCTTAAACCATGAAATCGATATATTTTGTGCCTACAGATTTTGAAATTGTTAATCTTGCTTATTCTGAATCTTCAGTGATAAGAAACCTCAAAAAAAATTATTGTAGACTTAAACCCCTCTCTACACACACACTTCTCCTCTTGCTTCTGCCTTTCTCTATCCACTGGGTGTAGTCTATAACTCTATGGTTTTGGGATCTGTAGGAAGAGAACACGACTAAGTCACTTATAGCTCAGGAGGCAGAGGAACACAAGGATCTGTGGGAGAAAGAGGTGATATCTCGATCTAAACTTGGCCTCAAGGTACGTCTCAGAATCCCTCAGCTTATCTAGCCTCTGCTCTACTTACTGATATACTCATGCTGCTAATGTAACACTAGTGTAGATATATATATTCAAACCAAAGGCAATACAATCAAACTTCAAACTTAGGTAAAAATAGTTGATATAATTATATATGATCTTTATGAATTGATCTTGTTAAAAAATAAGTAAGATTACCGGTATCTAATTTCAATCATTCTGTAATGCTGGTAATATTTTCCTTATTTTTTTCCAGTTGAAGTGAAATGAAAATTTGTTCGGATATGACTATATGGATATTTTTTTAGGCAGACTAAATATTCTTAATATTAATGCTTATATTGTAAGCATAGTTTTACTAATTTCTATTTTAAATTCCAGATCTCCCAGTATGAAAAGCAGAAACAGGATGCATTTGTTCAGCTGGAAGAGGTGAGATATACAGTAAACAAGAGTCACATTCTTTTCCAAATCAAACTAAAAAGACAGATTTTTTTATATCCATCATGTTTTTCAGGAGAGAAGAAAGCACAGAAAGACGATAGAAGCCAAGAGGACAGCTGAAATGAAATTGGAGGCCGAGATAGACAAGTAAGATAACTCTGTAAGGCCGGGTTACACAAATAAGATAACTCTGTAAGGTTGAGATAGTCAAGTAAGATAACTCTGTAAGGCCGAGATAGACAAGTAAGATAACTCTGTAAGGCTGAGATAGACGAGAAAATAACTCTGTAAGGCCGAGATAGTCAAGTAAGATAACTGTGTAAGGCCAAGATAGACAAGTAAGATAACTCTTGTAGGGAAGATAACTCTGTAAGGCCGAGATACACAAGTAAGATAACTCTTGTAGGAAAGGTAACTGTAAGGCCAAGATACCCAAGTAAGGAAAGGTAACTCAGTAAGGCCGAGATAGACAAGTGAGATAACTCTTGTAGGGAAGGTAACTCTGTAAGGCCGAGATACACAAGTAAGATAACTCTTGTAGGAAAGTAACTCTGTAAGGCCAAGATACCCAAGTAAGGAAAGGTGACTCTGTAAGGCAGGGATTAATCTAGGGCATATTTACTACCGATATTCTGTGTTTTTCCCCTAGAGAAAATTTCCCCTGAAGATCAAATTTTCCCCTTTTGATGAGTAAAATATTCCCCTTACAATTAAAAAAAACCTGAAATATTTTTTTTCCTTCATAAAAACTGAAAATAGAAAGTAAAATTTTTCAGTGTATGAGAAATATGGTTTTACTTTGCTACTTTATGCACTTTAAATGGTCATAAAAAAGCTGAAATTCAATTGTCCCCAAGTCAGGGCTTTCCCTGCCCTTGCTCAAGTGGTCCCCAGATCCCGGCTGATTTTCCCAATTTTTCCAGAAAGGGTATTTTCCCCCAAAACCTAGATTAATCCCTGTAAGGCCGAGATAGACAAGTAAGATAACTCTTGGAGGGAAGATATCTCTGTAATACAGAGTTCTATGGAAGTTAAAATGCTTCAAGTTTTAATCAGAGCTTTAAGTCTAATCTGCCATTTGTGTCTTGTCTTGACAGGAATACTCAGCTACAGAAGGAAGTGGCCAGTTTAAAAACTTACCTGAAGGTGGCCAAGAAGAGATTAAAGGTGTGTAATGAGTTATTTATGTTTGACAGCTTTGAGCCCTTCTTTGCTGTATATACTGGTCTAGCTTATCAGTTCTCTTTGTATATAAATGACAAGAAAGAAATGTTGATCATCGTCTATACCCGTAAAAATTTATTTAAAAAATTGTTTTAATAAGAGATTGCGAGTCAGGATGTTATAAAAATGTCTCTTGTCATTTTCATAATTTTAAACAGAGTACATGTTTATTCTAATATTTCAATCTAGCTTTTTCCTAAAGTAATACAACTTTGATGATAGGAAAATTATGTTTATTTTTCACTGATTGAATTGCTTCAGTACATGCAGTTCTTTAAGTTACTATTAATGAACAAAGGTAATAGAAACAGTCCTTTTAATGACTTTAAAATGAATTTAATAAAAATGGATTTCAGGAGCATGATGCAAATATCACTCTTGACAGTGTATGTATAACTTCTGTAATAAAAAAATCTTTTTAGATAGTTGCAACATAGTGTATTTGTAATTTCTGTAAAGAAAACAATATTAGCTAGATACAAGTACAATGTAGCCAAATAGCTAGGAGAATATATCTCTGATATAAATCACATCCTTATAGACTTCTTTGTCTCCTGATCCCTGTTGTCTCACTTTTCTTTTCATATCAGTTTTGTTTCTGAAAATCTACCACTCTCATACTGGAAAGGAAGTCAGTGCCCTAGGTGTTAATGTGGCTTCAAATCATTAATTCTGCAAAAGGATGTTTATTATATACTTAAGTCCTACTTACATAATTTATTATTATTTTGTGTGACAAAATGAAGTATATTTTTATTATCATTCTCAAATTTAAAATAATTGAAGTCACACCCATGATGCACCAAACCATTGATTTCTTGTTCCTGTTTTTCTCCCTCATTACCTCCCCTTTCCTGCTTCCTTCAGGGCCTTGATTCCCGTGACTCTAGAATTAACTCCCTGAGTGCTGATTTTGATCGTGAGCGTATGACCATGGAAAGTACTCTATCTTCTGTCAGACAGCAGGTAACTGAGTTGAAGACATTCAAAATGCACAAAAAAGAGTGGTTTTATCAATAATCAGTTGTTGTGCACAGTAAACATATACACTCTATAATGTAGGGAATAGTTTATATTTTTGTAGACTGAAAAGTCATTTCTTAAGAGCTTTTTTCATATGAAGTCTACCTAAATTGGCACATACTTGTAACTTCTCTTCTTTTTCATCATGTCTATCTCATGTCTCTTTGTCTCTTGACCTTTGTTGACCCCGTAGCTTCAGGACTTACAGCTTCATTTGGAGAGAGAGGTAGATGAGAAACAACAACTTCAATCCAAGAACCTTAAGCTGCAAAATGAGCTTGCTGAGCTGCAGCAGCTCAAAAAGGCGATAAAAAAGCTGGAGCTCTCTAAAGATAAGCTCGAGAGCGAGTATAAGGCCTATAAGGTACTGGGTCTTGCCACTGTGAATGGTGCATGATGGGAAAATGAGATGCTTCACCATGTTTTGAATCCAGGGAAAATGCATGCTTGTTACATATTTGTTCTGTTGCACATTGCTTGATATTTGTTCATTTAAGTTTTAGAGTATTACAGTTAATGGATGTTGATGACATTGAAATTTCAATGAAGAATTTACTAGATTTTGGTTTTTGCAGTGTTATTTTGTTGAATGCATGCACTTGAACAGAAGGAGAAATGTTTTGAAGGTTTGCACTGAATGTTACACAGTAGTGAAGAAAAACTGCTTTGATATTTGAATCACTTTGCCATAGGTTGGTAGTTAGGTTAATTTACTATCAAGTCAGCATGGTACTCTGAACAGTGTTCTTTTAAGGTACCCATACTAATACCTCAAATCCTGTTATTATCT